CCATTATAACACTTCTGTTGACTTTTACCTTTCTTCTTGTCGAACTTACCATCCTTTCGTAAGAATTTTCCCTTAACAGCCAAACCTTCGCCCACCGTCGAAGGTTTATGCTCCTTTCGTTCATCAAGTCCTTAGAATACAAGGCTGATTGAACTTCTTCAAAGGTCAGGGACTCCCTTCCATACAAAAGAGTTTATTTGAAGTGAGCATGTGTTCTAGGCAAAGCACACAACAACAACAATGCTTAATCTTCATCATCGATCTTCACATCAATATTTTCAAGATCAAGAATCAGTTTGTTGAACATATCCAATTGCTCAGCCAACACTTTATCTTCACTCATCCTGAATGAATATAAAGCTTGCTTCAGGTAGAGTCAATTCACCCGAGATTTGGTCATGTACAAACTTTTAAGTTTCACCCATAATCCCGATGTTGTAGTCTCCTTTGATACATGTCGAAGAACCTTATCACCAAGGCTCAAGAATATTGCACTGTGGGCTTTCTTGATCATGCACGTCTTTTCTTTTGCCATTAATTCAGCATCCATGGTTGCCTCACCCTTCAACGCTTCCAAACAACCCTGCTAAACCAATAGGGCTTTCATCTTCAAGCGCCACAGACCGAAGTCGTTCACTCCGGTGAACTTTTCAATCTCATACTTTGTTGAAGGCATCTTCTCTACGTTCAGCGCACCAATTTGTTGTGAATCAGATACCTTAAAACTAAGTATAAATAGTTTCTTAATGATCAAGAAACACACAAGGGTTAGGGTTAATAAAGAAGAAAATAAAAAGGATTAGTTATTAAATTTCTATTCTTTCCTTTCTCTTAGAACAAGATTACAAGTATTTAAGAATAAAAAAATAACCTCTCTCTCTTGAAATTAGGATTTTATCTTCCTATTTTTCCTTATATCAAGATTGAGAAACTAACATCCTATTTATAAGAAAAATAGCACACCAACCTAATGGGCTTTTTAACAATTACCCATTACAAGCTAACTTAGGGTACAAGCTAACTTAAAAATTGGACTTACAAGCAAGACCCAATTCAACATGCTAACTGTCATACCCCAAATTTTACCCTTAGATTTTTAGGATCATTTCGCATTCCGTCTCATTCTGCATTGCATTTTAACTAACCGCTAACCAGTTTGTTCAGTCTGTTGGTTTTTGCAGGAAAATCCCGCCGTGTACGATTTAATTTATGAAGGGCAAAAGGGTCATTATTTTGCGGGTTGCTGACAATTTATGAAGCAAAGTTGTCGCCAGGAAATCTTCAAGCAATTAGGGTTTCAATATCCGGGTCAGGTGATTTTATTTGAGATGTGAGTTGAATTTTGCGACAATATGGACGGCAGGACGCAATACATTGTATTCGAGAGCCGAGATCTATTCGTCAGTTGAATTTCAGAAATGTTGTTTGATTCCTAAACCATATGGAGCTGAATGTGTTGAGATATCAGTGGATTCAGGTTAAATTGGTGCAAGAATGTGCTCTGAGGAATTTATTCTAACAGACACCCGTTTTCCTGCTTGTTGCTAGTTACTAGTCGATTTTAAAGGAACGATGGAATTTCTCTTCGCGTTGAATCTATAATGAATATCTGTGGATTTGGTCATGATTATCAGTTGAGCGGAGTCAGGTCACGGGGCTAGATTATTTGAGGTACAATTTGAATTTTCGATGCGGAGGACAGCTCGTTTGCCGTTAAATGGATGATTTCTCTGGGTACCTATTCAGGACCATATTCACCGATTTTATTATCAGGTACGAATTAATTTGCAGAGGAAAATTCATGTTATTAAAAAATGGACTTTTCTGTTTATCTGGTCAAAGGCAATATTCACCTATCTTCGTCATCGAATACGGATTAATCATCAGGGGTTGGTTTTATGTTGGATGTGATTCTAATTGTCGGATTCAGAGTTGGGAGCGTATAAGGTTAATCAGATGAATTTATTTGAATGAACTTAGTCAAATGAATTTAGTTGAATGAACTTAATCAGACAAATTTATTTGGAGGAACTTAATCAGTTGAATTTAGTTGGAAAAACTTAATTAAATGAATTTATTCGGTTGAGTTTAATCGGATGAATTTAGTTGAAGAAATCTGATCAGGAAATAAATTCAGTTTATTAAGAAAATCGAATTTATTCAAATTCTATATTTTTTTATTACAATGTACAAGAATAATTACAGGATTAATTCCTAAGTTCTAAGGATTCCTGATTTTTCTAAGAGCTCTTCACGTCTGAATCTTCAATCTTCGATCTTCGAACCTGCAAAACAAATAATGTTAGAAAAATATTCAGTGGGGGTTAGAATTAATTTATCAAAAGCAATTTTCGGTTATATCGACACCCTCAGCAAGTTATCATCATCAGGCGTGTCGGGAGGGCAACAACGACAAGGTCGTCGCCAACTCCCGAATTTTAATTTCCGACCTCGACACGGACCCGAAAATATCTGTTCAATTTATTTCGAGAGAGAGAAAGAATATTTTTGAAAAAGTGCTTATTTCAAAAAAATTATTTTTTTGGCCAGCCAAACAAGATTTAAAGAAAAATCCATAACCAAAAAACCCATGGATATCCATATCCAATCATCAAACCCATATCCAGCAGCAACAATAACTTTCCCAAAATTCTTGCAACCAAACGAGATCAAAGCCAACAACAACAACCTTTCACAAATTTCAGCAAAACAAGCCAAAACAAATCAAACGAATTTCCTGGAAAAGTCCATGAAAAACGCAGATTTCTGCTCTCCAAAACAGGATTAAACCAAACTTTCACAAGTTCCGAATCCAGCAAATCAACCATAAAATTCATAATAGAAAATCCTGAAAAACGCAACAATAACATACATGCCCAGGCCCAAATATCACAAATGAAGAACCATATAAATCATAAAAAACAGTCATCACAAGGAGGGGGCGACGGATTGGAGAACCCTAAGTCCATCATCATTAACTGGCGGTGGCCAAGCGAAAAACCAAGATCCGTCAGCAATCAAAACCAACAAGCCAAACCTAGGAACGAATCGAAGCGGTGACCGCGAATCTATCAGAGGAATCACTACCGTCGTTGTACAAATCGCCTATCAGACTCAGAGGAGCCCTCATCATCGTCAATCGCCGTCAAGCTCCACGAGAACGAGCCCATCACCGTCAAGTCACCACCCCGAACTCAGACGTGCGATCTTCGCACCATCATCATCGTTTAACAACATCATACCACCATCATCGCATCACCAAGGACAAGCTAACATCATCACAAGAAAAATGTGAGCTCTGATGAAATAAGTCACGATTTGGTTTGTTTCTTTCCTTTTTTTTCCAGGTGTAGATGCAAGCAAGAAGGATTCATGAAAGTGAAAGGAAAACAAAGAATGGAGAAAGGCCATGGGAGCTGCGCCGTGAAGAAGAAGAAGAGGAAATGGGTTTTCACAAACCCTAAATGACTCAGCGACCAAGACTCGTTCCCCTTTTTATTTGGCATTTTTCTTTTATAATTTTTTTTATTTAAGATTAAAATTCTGTTAAATTAAAACCCTTTAGTTTCATAATTAAAAACATTTTTTGAAAAACTTAAATTAAAACTTATTTCAGTTTTGTAATTAAAAACCATTTTACAAAAAAAAAAAACAATTCTTAAAACTTTAGAATTAAAACCATTTTCTTAAAAACATTTAATTTCAATATTTTTTCTTAAAACATTGTGTAACCAAATTTTCAAACATTTCACTTTCAGTTTCGGCTTGAGCTGTCACATAATTGTGGATCTGATCCCTAACCTTGCCTCGTTTATTTTCGTCTAATCTCTACGCCGCTCCTAACCCTGTTTCTCAGTTGGACAGTTACTAAATATTTTGCCGTATTTCATTTCATGGTTGTAATTTATGCGAGGACATCGTCGCTTTTATTCTGTTATTATTCTTGCATTTTTCATGGTTGTAATTTATGCGAGACAATCGTCGCTTTTATTCCGTTCTTATCCTTGCACGTTTTCCATATTTTCATACTGCCGCTTAATTATTTTGCATTACATTATTCATCGTAACTTCCCCTCCGAAGGATAAGTCTAGCCGTTTGACCGCCGCGTCAATAATCTTTACCCTTGACTCTTTCACCGTTCAAACCCTAATTGCAAATGCGTCCCACCGCGGACAGTTTTACCCTTTACCCTAGCATTAGGATAAGGAGTCGTCGTACTCCATATTAGGTTTCCTTCCGTGGAATACCTATTTTACCCTTTTTAATTCAATTACAACGTAGAAATAGGAGTCGCCGCACTCCACGTAAGCGCTTCCATATGAACGCTTATTCCCCATTAAAACCTTGACCACAGTCAAGAAGTTTCCCTTCCTCCCTTTCAAGGGGAACTACGATTACTCTGATTCCATCCCCTACCTCGGATACGTAGGCACAAGATGCAAGTCTTGGCGAGTAAACTTAGGACTAACCCTTAGGTCTTTCTTTTCACCTTCTAACCCTTAACATATAGCCTTAAGCAAATATTTAGCAAAATAGCAAACATTAAAACGAGAGGTTCCTGTAGAGTACTACAGAAATTTATGATGCTAATACCTTCCATAAGCTTAACCAACCCCCGAATCTTAGATCTCTCCCCGCATTGTGTTTACGATGCAAAATAAGGCTTTTCCTTTCTTTGACCTTTCCTTCGGATAAATTAAAGACCGGTTGTGAACTAAAGATGCGATTCAAATTAATTAATAATTTGATATCCTATTCTCACCGCAACACTAACAACCCTAGCAATATTGACTAATGCATGTTAGAACAAACTTCGACTACAACACGCATTACTCGCGAACATACTTTGACCACACTAGAGTTCGATCCAACATCTCACACTATAAATAAAAGAAAAATGTGAGCTCCAACGTATATCTCTGACTCGTTTCAAAGTACCAATTCGATTTTGTCCTTTACCACTATTAAGCTTACCAGTCTCTAGCAAATTGGAAATCTCCTAAAAAATGACATTTTGAAACTCAACACGACGCTTACTAGAGGAACATACAATATTGATAATAAGAGTCAAGTTTGAAAAGAAATCATGAACAAGAAAAACTTTTCTTGATGCAGTAACCAAAGCAAGTTGTGATCTATGTGCAAAACAATGTATGTAATAAGCATAAGGATAATCCTTGATAAATAATTCTTCCAATCCATTCCATTCCTCTCTCATATTACTAGCACCATCATACCATTTCCCACAAATATATGAAACATTTAGACCATATCGAGAAAGAACATCACAAATTGCATATTTAAGAGTGATAGCCATAATGCCTTTAACATGCACAAGCTCAAAAAATAGTTCTTCAATACACCCATTTTTATCCATAAACCTCGAGATAATAACCATTTTCTCCCTCAAATATTCATCAACAATTATTAAAAATTTAGAACCCCCAATCTCTTCTCGAATATAACTTTTCACTTTCTTAGACATGATATGCAAAATTTCCTTTTAAATTGAATGAGAGGTATACTTTGAATTATATGAAGAATTATCTAGTACTACTTTAGCAAGTTCATGATTGTATGACGTTAAGAGTTTTATCATTTCAAGAAAGTTACCTCAATTTTTTGATCCAAGTGATTCGTCATGACCTCTAAAGGAATAAACTTGAAATGCGAGCCAACAAATGAAATCGATAGAGCTCTTGAAACAAAGTCTATTTTAGATGACTTGATCAACACACTGTATATATAGAACATTTATGATGTCAATTGATTGATTGAACAAGTTCTGAGAAGATTTCAAAGCATTATTGTGAGGTGAACAAAGACTCCCTCCAATATGATTAAGAAAAGCACATTTTTTTGGAATTGACATTTCTCCACGTCTTAACTCCTTTTCTAGTAAACATATCAGCTCCGGGATCACGTTCTAAACAGCTGACATCAAATTCTTCCACGGTGACTTTTTGAATCTTGCGATGTTTCTCATTTGGTTGAACTTGAATTGTTTGATCACCGAAAGCTTGCTCCTCAAGTGTTGATGTTGAAGTTATACAATTTTCATCTTTATTAGAAACTTTTCTTAAAAAAATGTTTCAATTGTCTTATGTTTAACCATTAAATAGCTCCTAAAAAAATACCTAAATAATCAATTACATTTTAAAAACAATCAATCACACCTAAATCTAATAAAACCAAACTAAATCTATAATACAAGGTGAACAAAAAAAGCCCAACTAATCTTTGTCAATGAAAAAAAAAGCCACTTTATTCTACTAAAAGTGTTCCAACTAAATCTAGAATAAACAAAATGCAAAAATGTAGCCATTAAAGGTTGTACTACTATTTAATATATAAAATAGTTACAGTATGTTTATAGGCATTATGATGAACCGCTAAAAAGTTTTGGCATAGAATTATAACTGATTTCATTTCAAGATAAACATAGAATAAACATAGAAACTCTACTGAATAAACATAGAAATTTTAAGAATAAATTAGTCCATCATCAATATAAATAAGAATAAATCATTGAACAAGCCGTGAATGAAGTCTTCAAAGCTGCCATCAAAATTGTTATCTAATCTGTTATCGAACTTAAAGTCGTGAACAAAAATGTTGTCACAGTGACCATTGAAGCTATGAACAAACAACTTCGTCACCGATACCGCCACCATATCTGCACTACAGAAGTAATGTGTGGTGTGTGGTAGTGGCTTGGTTTGTAAGTTATGGTAAAAGAAGAAGAAGACAAGTTTTCTTTTGTTTTACAAGTAATTGAAACGTTGAAAAAACAGGTTGAAAAAACAGGTAGCGTATGAAAGTAGTTTTGATTTACTTTTTTTTATTAAGTCCAAAACGATGACATTTTAGTATATAAAAAGATTATAAAAAAAAAAGTTAGGGGTGTACCTGCTCATGGTCGCATCCCTATAAATCCGTCGTTGGACGTGAGTCTCATTAAAGATCGTACTTGAGGTTTATGAGTGATTGTTTGAAATGAAGCATGACACACCATCATCCGAAGTTCATGTAGGATACACGGTAATGGAGACCCGCTTGTGGTGGAAGCCATGCCTATGAAAGTGGGGATGAAATAAACTCTTTAGCGTGACCTTAAAAGGATCGAATTCGAATAGGAAACTGATGAAAATGATGAATGGTGAGAAGAATTTGCCTCGTAACAATGTTGGAATGACACTCACATCTATGTGTAAAATGAGAGACAAGTTTGAAGCGATAGATTTCAACCACACTCTCAAATAAATTATGAAACAACACATAATATTAGAGTTTGTGTTAGAAAATCTCCAAAATTGGGAACACCAAATAACTCTAATGAACTTGAGACCCAATTGTAAACTCTTTTATTTTGAGTAATGAGCATCTTCTTTTAAAAAAGAAAAACATAAAACAGTTTTGAAATTAATTTATAAAATAAATTTTAAAAGCTAAAAACCAAAACTTTTTCAAGCCCTAAATATTTTTGAAAAATATCGGGCCTGGCCCAAAGCAATTCTGTAGTTTTCTAGCCCAGAAACAATTGAACCACCCAAAGCGCGAGAATCAAAACCGTCGACTTATCCCTTCTATAAGAAACCCATCAGCGTTCCATAGCACACATATAGCAATTGTCGGCGGTGACGGAGAATCCCCTTTATTCAGTCAGAATCTGAAGATGTCGTCGGGTGTGGCCAACAACGAGGAAGACAAAAAGCCCACTGATCAGGGCGGCGCACACATCAATCTTAAAGTCAAGGGTCAGGTTCGTCGTTTCTTCCCTCAATTTCTAGGGTTTTGTTAGTTTTTGAAAAAAATTTCTGATGCTTATGATTGTTTGTTGATGCATGCGTAATTCTCTGTTTTTAGTTTGATTGTAGGATGAATTTGATGATAGTTGGTTTTGATTGTATCGGTTTTAAATGTTTGAAGATTTTTATTAATTCTTTCTATTTTTTTTGTTAATTTTGTTTTAGTTAATGATTATTTGTTAACTATCCTAGTAAGATAGGAATTTAATCTAATTTCGACCCTTGTTCAATACTTTATATTTTGAAAAGATAGGAGAATCCTAAGTGCAGTAGTTCTTCTTTCTTAGGTAGGTTATAGGGGAATTTGTGTATCTCTAAAGTGTAGATTTTGTTGAAATCATGATGCTATGTGTATTGAACTGTCTTTAAATATGAAACACGACACCAACACCAACACCGACGCAGTGACACCAGAAACACGACACTAGACTGTCTTTAAATATGAAAATACGACACCAACACTGACACAGTGACACCAGAAACACGACACTGGACTGTCTTTAAATATGAAAATACTACACCAACACTGACAAAGTGACACCAGAAACACGACACTGGGCTGTCTTTAAATATGAAAATACGACACCAACACTGACAAAGTGACACCAGAAACACGACACTGGGCTGTCTTTAAATATGAAAATACAGAACCAACACTGACACAGTGACACCATAAACATGACACTGACTCATTGACATTAATACTGGTATAATTTGAGTAGACATATATTAAGGTAATCACAAGTGTCTACATCGGTTTGGTGCTACCAAGTTTTTATAACATTAAGCATGAACTTGTTCTGGGAACAATTTATTGATTTTGGTGAGAAGCCTTTGAAACCATGTGTTGGGGTGTTGTCCTTTTTTCTTTATTTTTGTTGCATTTATGTTAGATTTTATTTGTCTTATCTTGATCATACTGTTATATTGTTATTTACATAATGGATCATGTTTCATTAAAGAGCGGGGATAGTGTGTATCGGTGTTGTGCTATGATCAATGCATTCTTCCGAAAGTGTTCCCTTGCAATATCAATTTGAGAGAATGGGCAGTTGTGTTTCATCTTTTAGGGTTGAAAATCACAACAATCATTTTCTCTACATCTCTCTTTTTCTTTTTTAAAATAAAAGTACACATGAATTTGGGTTTGCAATGTTTGATGCATGTTTTCATGTATGGCTTACATAGCATAAGTTATTGTGTTTTATACATTGGAAAATCTCTAAATCTCTAAACCCCACAGCTGTTGGTTTTTGGACAGGATGGGATTTGGGTTTGCAATGTTTGATGCATGTTTTCATGTATGGCTTACATAGCATAAGTTATTGTGTTTTATACATTGTAAAATCTCTAAATCTCTAAACCCCACAGCTGTTGGTTTTTGGACAGGATGGGAATGAAGTGTTCTTCAGGATCAAGAGAAGCACACAACTAAAAAAGCTTATGAACGCTTACTGCGATCGTCAGTCGGTTGACTTCAACTCCATTGCCTTTCTCTTTGATGGGCGTCGCCTCCGTGCAGAGCAGACTCCAGACGAGGTTTCTGTTTACAACATCATTGCTTCAACGCTTACAATTATACTAAAATGAAACGTTTAATGACCTTCAGATATATGTTGTTGCAGCTTGAAATGGAAGATGGAGATGAAATTGATGCGATGCTTCATCAGACAGGAGGTTCTGTTGTCTGAAAGAAACAAGGATGTTTCTGCTATATTATGATTAGAACTAGTTTAACTTAGAGCTAGGTTATGCATATTATGTGTCTTCTATTATCTACTATCATATGATACCGCAGTTGTGGCTGAACTTTGTAAGTGCAATGCTTCCTTTGTTAATATGATTATGAGTGGATTATAGCATTTCTACCTGTGAAAGCTTATACTCATTTCTCTAGCTTGTTCAATAAATTCACGTGTTGAAAAATCTCTACTCGGAAGCATGTATTGGGTTTTTAGCTCATGTCCTCTTGGCTTTAAGGGGACATCACTTGATATGATAATATTAATTATTTATATGAATTGGTATAGAAGGCCATCAGTTTTTATGACATTTTGCAGCCATTTTTATTGATCATTGTTCTAAAATTGTGGCGCTCTAGATTTATTCTCGTACTTTGATGGTTATTGATATGAGTTTATTGGCTTGTCACTGATATGTACTGATTTGAGTTGGTATAAGTTTATTGGTTCTACTTCTGAATTTTTTGCTTCACTGGTATTGTAATTCTTCAAATGTCAGTAATTTTCACAGTTTGTGTTTGCTTGCACAGTGGTCTGGTTTGTTTCATCATAAAGTAATATGAATTAAATGGTTCTAATGTGGTTGTTAATCTTTTACTTTACTGGCATTGTGTTTAGTGCTGTTAATCTAATATTATTGTTATAATACTGATATAATACAAAGCAAAATAATACAAGCCAAAATAGCACAAATTAAAATACCAACCAGAAAAATACAAACCAAAATATGGGAGCGCAAATTGTTTTGCTTGTCTTGATATAGAATATGTTTGTATTTGTATGGTTATATCCATTGTGTTCATAATATCACAAATTAAAATAGAACAAATTGTTTTGCATGTACAAATATGCCAGGATTTAACTTCAAATCTCGTTCGAACCTGACACTCCAAACTGAATCTCTTATTGCGTATCAATAGATGATATTGCCGATAATATTTCCTTTCCCAATAAGTTTTTCACTCATTTTCAAAATTTATGGTAGCCACGCTCAAATTTCAATTGTCGGGGGAGATAGTGAAAATTTTAAATCTTCTACTGAAAAATTCAAAACAGTAAGGTTTCAAGGTTTTTTTTACTGTCAAAATTTTTGGAATTTTCTCAGAAATTTAAAACTTTTTTATATTATTGAAAATATTTTAATTGAAAATCTCAAAATTTCGGGCACAAAATTATCTGAAATTCTCATATGAAATGTATCATATGAGAATGTCATTTTTATGTGAGAATATGAGAATGAATCCGAACCATTAGATTTTAATATAAATTGTAAAGATTATTTGTGGTTTTTATTTTTCTCTTTTCCATTATTAAAATAAATGGTAAAGATTATTTGTGATTTTTATTTTTATTTTTTTCATTATTAAAATAAATGATGTAGGAGGAGAGAGAAAAAAAAACTGACACATAATCTTCACAATCTATTTGAAAATCTAATGGTTCAAATTCATTCTCATATTCTCACATATATATATATATATATATATATATATATATATATATATATATATATATATATATATATATATATATATATATATATATATATATATATATATATATATATATATATATATATATATATATATATATATATATATATATATATATATATATATATATATATATATATATATATATATATATATATATATATATATATATATATATATATATATATATATATATATATATATATATATATATATATATATATATATATATATATATATATATATATATATATATATATATATATATATATATATATATATATATATATATATATATATATATATATATATATATATATATATATATATATATATATATATATATATATATATATATATATATATATATATATATATATATATATATATATATATATATATATATATATATATATATATATATATATATATATATATATATATATATATATATATATATATATATATATATATATATATATATATATATATATATATATATATATATATATATATATATATATATATATATATATATATATATATATATATATATATCTGTGGGTGCGGGTGTGGGTGTGCGTGTGTGCGTGTGCTTGTGCGTGTGTGTGCGTGTGCGTGTGCATGCACGTGTGTTTGTGTGTGTTTAAAAGAGTAAGTTTTTATAACTTACTTCACAATCATAGCCTTTAGATTAGATTTAATCGAATGATTATAAGTAAAAATGCTATTTTAACCACTAGATTAAATTCAATTTAAAAGCTATGATTAAGTTAAACAAACATACTCTTGGAGTAATGACCCCACTCATATATATATATATATATATATATATATATATATATATATATATATATATATATATATATATATATATATATATATATATATATATATATATATATATATATATATATATATATATATATATATATATATATATATATATATATATATATATATATATATATATATATATATATATATATATATATATATATATATATATATATATATATATAATTTTCCCCTTCTTTTGCTGTGAAATATAGAGGCGTGGGCAACATTATTGCAGATAGAGCGACATACCAGACTAGGGTCGCTGATGCAGTCTTCCTAGACACGAGCTGAACGAGTAACCGGTTCACACCGGAAACTGTTGGCTGAGTAAGATCAATTTTGTGCAGCTCGTAGCACTCGACGTCGACTAGTATGATCAGTTAAGCAGCCCAAAGATGACGTGGTAGATGAGGTGGTCCAATCAGATGTTGTTGTTGCATATGAGGTGGTTGTTGATAAGGTGGTTGTTGAGGAGGTGGTTGTTGAGGTAGTCCTGCCAGATGCCGCTATTGCTGATCTAACCCCATCTGTTACTGCTAACATAGAGGTTACAGCTCCTTCGACCGAGTCCTATGTGCACATTGATGGAGAATTTCCTAGAGGACTCATTGATCGATCGGTGCTTACTGAGTTCGCTAACCATGTGACATATCAACTATGGAAGGGAGAGATATATGTCTTTTATGTTAAACTTTACTTTGTTTATTATTATGTCATGAAAGCTAATTGCAATTTTTTTTTTGAAATTTGTTTGTTATAAGACCATATACCACTGAAGGCAACATCGCACGATCGAAGTTGAGGGACTTCCCAAAGATTCTAATGCCTGAGCTGGTCAGACGAATTGCACGCGAGTTCGAGCTCTTTGATTTTTCCTACTGCCCCCTCACCATGCTCGACGCTCAACTACTAACTGCATTTGTTGAGAGATGACAAGGAGAAATCTTCATTTCGTCTTTCGTTTGGGGAGATGATTATCACTCTGTATGATGTTTCCTCATTGTTCCATCTTCCTATAGGCGATAGATTTTAGACGACTCTCGTTCTTAGCCCATCAATTGCATGTATGACTACTGTACAAGATTTGGGAGTTTCTGAGGAGGTCGTGCAGAAAGAGTTTGGCTTCAATAGGGCCGTTCAACTTCGTATGTTTTGGCTTCGAGATAGGTACAACGAGCTTGTTGCGGTTGGGAGTTATAAGGATGTCGCTAGAGTGTTCATGCTACATCTAGTAGCATGTAATCTCTTTGCAGATAAGTCAAGTGTTTATATCGATGCCCGATATGTGTGCCTGTTTAGTAGCCTCGACGTTACCAGTTGGGCTTGGGGGTGTGCTACATTGACCATTATGTATACAACATTTGGAGTGACAATATTATTTAAGACCAGTCAACTTGCTGGTTATATGAGTCTATTACAGGTATACTTGAACTTATTATTTGTTGTTGATTTCTTATGCAATTGTTACGAATAACATTTCTTATTTATTACTTATTGTATTTGTATTTTGATATCAGTGCTGGATATACGAGCATTTTCCTACCATATGACATAAGAGTGCAGCGTTCCCTAGTGAGGTCCCCACGTGCGAGGAGGTGGAGGGCCAGATAATCACATCCTGGTGGTGTTGCTGAATACAAGAGGAGGCTCGACGTGATGACTATAGATGATGTCATATAAACACCATACACTGATCATAGAGTCCACCGTGAGTTCGATACGTCTTCATTATATTCAGGTTATATATGGTGGGAGACCATGGTTGCTAGACACATGCCTTAAAGGTGTCTACGATAGTATGGTTATATTTAGAGTATCCCACGACCAGTTCCAGATATACCATCTGCGGGCATTGATTGGTGGTTTCAAAGTAACATCATCAGCTCTGGTCGTGCCATTAGAGATCGAGCAGTTACAGTTCAACACCCCTCGCAGTGTGAGGATGGTTACTTAGAGTGGTACTTCGCTGTATCAAACCCTCGCATCATCCCACATGTTGAGGATACAGGTGATGGTGAGCTTTTTGATGCCGGGGTACTTGTAGATGATGTTTCGTCACCTCCTACAGCTGATGGTGATGACTAGCAGTGCCTCCAGATGATTGCAATTATTATGGATAACCTCATGGGTTTGGTAAACCCAGATGGCGAGATTTACACTGGATTATCTTTGGCTGCACACATAGCCCGTGGGGGGGGGGGTCTATTTAGACATTTTTTGTATATTATATGTTATTTGTATATTACTCAAACATATTCATCATAACATTTTAAAATATAATATTTTTGATCTCTCATTGATGCAACATCAACATAAATTAACATTTGACAATGGATTACATAACTTAAACATAACTTTAAAAAAACGATAATAAATAATAAAACCTAGACACAACCAGATGATTCTGAACAATTCATCATCTTAACTATGTTGTCGACAAACCTTGAAATCTTAGCATCTAACTCAATTGGCCCCTTAGTTAATCTACGGCAAAATAATCTCCACATACCCTGAAGGTGAGATAATACTTAGAAGGGAGGGGGGGGGGTTGAATAAGTATGAAAGATTAAGCTTAAAAAAATCACACAAATATTTTTATCCTGGTTCGTTTAAACA